TCGGTCAGTGGCACGTTGACGCGGAGATGATGTGCAACGCAGATGTTGTGCTTGCCCTCGAAGGAATCAATACCGCCGTCGAGGCGCAAATCAAGACCAGAAACACCAATCTCATCGAGCAGCGAAAGACCGCAGTTACTGCCGAGCACCACGAGTGGGTCAGCAGCCTGGATCGCCTGGAAAACACCTGGCCACAGGATCTGCAAAGTGGGAGGGCTACGTTGCCCAATGTCCTCGGCGTCCTCCGCCGCACCATCGAAGAGCAAACCCCATCCCGTAGTTTAGGGAAGACCTTGGTGCTGAACGAGGGTATCACCAACTACGCAATCGTCTGGAAGCATATGCGGACGGAGGCACCTGGTGGGCAGATAACGAGTGGCGGAGCCTCGCTTGGCTGGAGCTTGGCCGCAGCCGTCGGCGCACACATGGGTGCTGGTAAGAACTATGAATTGATCGTATCGATCGTTGGCGACGGTTCCTTCTTGTTTTGTGTGCCGAGTTCCGCTTATTGGATTGCGAGGCGTTACGAGACGGTACGAATCATCCCTCTTCCTCCTTGCACTCCTGGTCTTACACTCCCAACTTTCCAGCCATTTTTAACGATCGTGCTGAACAATGGCGGGTGGAAGGTACGTCACGTCGCTTTCGTCACACTATAGCCTTGAGCTTACATTTATTTCCCTTTGTCTGTCAGGCGCCCAAAATGTCCATGCTAGGTTGCCATCCGACTGGGTATGGGAGCCGGGCATCCTCTGGGGCAGAACTATCTGTCGGATTTGGGCCCAATTGTCCCGACTACTCACAGATCGCTGTCGCTGCGTCAGCGGGATGGGTGTGGGGGAAACGCGTCGGCGGCGACGGGCGTAACGTCAAAGAAGAGCTCAATGTGGCTCTTGCTGAGGCAGTCCGCGTCGTCCTGGAAGAGCGCCGGTGCGCTGTCCTTGACTGCGTTCTTGAGTCCATATGATAGCTAGTTAGTTAGCGTGCTATATTCGTTATTCATGACCGTGTATGTACTACCAGGACTACTTGTGGATTATTCATAGTTTCCCCGCGACGAATTTCTGGTCGATACTCTCGATGAGCCTCAGAATCACGTTGATCTGGGTGATTGCCATATTGACATCCAGTCTGCTCCATCCACCATCCGTCATGGCAGCCCTGTAACATCGTTATTTTTAGTTTTGGAAGCCTTCTTGAGTACGGAAGAAGTAAACACCCACCACAAGTAGTCGGGCTGCGGTATTATGCCGATGGTGGGGATATTGGAGTAGCCAAGGACGCTGCTCCCGCCCGCTCCGTACCACTGCGATTTTACGCCGTTGACAACTTGCGGCGCAACCATCGCCATGCGAAGCGACTCCGGTGTCCCCTCGAACGCGTCGAGGTACAGCTGGTGCAGCTCGTCGCTGGCGCTGGATGAGTTCCTGTACCCGGGGGTCGTCAGTACGGACTCAGGGAGCTGTGCATCGAGCGAGCACACGTACACCATCGTCCACATCGGCTCGTACTTCCCGGTGGGCTCAAACACCGGCTTGCCGCTCCTGAAGTTGTCCTTCCACTCGAGGGCGCCGAAGTGCTCGCAGACGATGGCGGCCTTGGCGTTCTGCAGGATTTCGGGGCGTTCGTCCATCCAGGCGGACTCGTTCAAGTGCTTGCCGGACATGTGGCCAGTTGTAATCACGAAACTTTTCGTTTATCTCAGTCTGGCGTCGAAAAAAGTCAGAGGCACATACTCGATGTTGAGGTGGATGGGGTGGGCGGCGAAGTACTCTGCCATTGCGAGCAAGAGGATCGGGCCATTCTCTTCAATTATAGAAGGGCCGTCGCCTCGATGATAATGTAAGCTCGTGAATTTGTAATCGCGATTAGACTCACTGTGCGTGTAAATGATAATGGAGTCTGTCGTCCCAGCTGTTCCAGCCAAATGTCCAAGTACGGTGGAAGAAGGGGACCAGGAACTCGGAGCATCCAGCACCACAGTGGCGCTTTCCACTTTGCCGCTCTTCACGAGCTTGCGGATGGTCTCGCCAGTGGAGTTCCCGACGAAGAGAGCCGGGACGTCGTAGAGTGAGCCGTTCCCCGGCGCACCGTCGTTCGGCAAGAACTGCAGAGCACCATTGTCGTCCGAAGTGTGCACCCACGAAGTGACGACGCCCGCCACGCCGAGCTCCTTGATTGCGGTCCAGTTCAGGGTCTTGGCGGATTGCCCTTGTTTTCTGGTCAGCAGCTCGTAAGGAGAGGGAGAATAATGGCATGTACAATGAGGATTTGTGAGATTACCGAGCTACGTAGATTCCAGTCAATACAAGCTAATCGGGTGCAGGTTAAATTGGTACGAACCTCGGGGATATCCTGCGCGGGGATAGACGATCTGAGAGAATGGCTTAGCTTCGATATTTTATTGGAGATGGACAAACGCACCCGAGTACGCCGTACCCAGGCTGCGAGTAGTTCTTCGTTGGGCTGGGGTTGTCGAAGAAGAGGATGCTGCCTCCTTGAGGGAGTCCGGTCAGATCCAAGGCGCCGGCGTTCGCAGTCTGATTCGGGAATAACGCGTAGCTTCCAGCGTCGTGCATAGGGGCGGTAACGCCTTTAAGCCCTGAGTCCCCGGAATACGGCCAATAACCCGTAGTAGGCAGACCCAAAGTGGTACCATCCGTCAACTTCAAACTCAGTGACCACCAGCGTGGGTCCCATCTTCACATCGTTTCGATGTCAGACCACGACTGCGGGACGCAAGAAACTGGCAAGCGGCGAACCTGAACAATGTGTAATTCAGTGTCTCGACAGTGAGACCAGCGATTTCCAGCGACGTTGCGACGAGTGACGTGAGGGTGTTCTGGTTGTCGTTCCCAGCTTTGACAGTGGTCAGCTTAGGGTGCGCGAAGAAAGGTCAACCAGTACGCACTCCAGCGCGGACCGCGCAAGTTGGTTTGGAAGAGGCGATCGTGGAGAAGCTGCTCCGCATGCTGGTCAAGACCCGGAGACGACGCGTATGCTGCACTGGCACGCGCCACAGCCAAGGACGTGACAACAACGCTGGACAAGAGCATCCTTCGAACGTAAAGCAAAAGGGCGCTTGAGAAAAATTGGGCGCCTCAACACAGAATTTATAGCGAACCGGATCTGTAATTCGGAGGCCAGAGGCCAGCTGACGCGTTGAACGAACAGATCTCTGCTTTCCTAAGATTCGAGAAAGGATCGGCAGAATTCCAAATGGTGGAGCTTGGGCGGGGACTAGGGTGACATTGAAGCGTCAGACCAGGTCATGGGTAGTGCTACCAGAAAATAAACGCCTCTGGACGGTCTCTGGATATTTGGGTGACTTTAATCTTGTCGTGGTCCATTGGTGATTTCGTCTCATTCCCACCGTCGGTTCTAACGGATCTACGCATCAAAAGATGAATCAAATATATTAATAGTTGTGATCGCTATCGGCCCGCTCACTCCCGACTTGGGTGACTGGCCCACCCCTCATGACCCTCGGGCATCCGAATTCGGCGAACCACAAAGAAAAATGGGAGCACCCACCGCAGATGCTATTGCTCACTGACACTTGGTAATGGCCTCGAAGGATGGATCCGGTGAGAATGCAGGTCACACCCAAGGGTCGAGTCGCGGATGTATCCCGAGCTTAAGATTGGGCGTGGTGGAATACACAAGACCGGAGAAAACATCGATGATACAAGCAGAAGATAAGCCCCGCGAAATATGAAAGAAAGGTGGGTAGTATGGGGTATAGAACAGTCACCACCCAGTCCATGTTAGCATTTCGTCCGGTTGGCCGTCAGACTGGCTTGGCGGTATGGGTTGCATTCTTGCCTGAGGCAGCTCCGAGCTGGCACCCCCTTGTACGAGCTCCTGATCTGGTGCGACTGCATCTACTTCTGGCGCTGGCCTAGCAAGTCCGCAAAGTCAGAACGAGTTTTAATGAATAAATGAAACAGACTCACCTGAGCTCCGCGAGCTTGCGCTCAAGGACCGCGCACCGGTTCAGCGCCTGGTCGCGTTCCGCGCGCATGCACTGGGTATAGTCCTTCGCCGCGCGCGCGAAACCGAGGAGGCCAGCGTTGGCGGCAGCGTGCACCTCCGCGCGCCGACGCCAAGTCTCGCAGCTCAACCGCAGTGCTTCTACCTGGTGCCCCTCCGCTTTTACAGGTGGAGGTGCAGCTAGAGGTGTAGCGGACGTGGACCCGCAGCTAGCGGCTGCGGCCGGCGTAAATTCTAGCGAAGGATCGTCGAAGAAAACAGGCCGTAGGGTGGGCAGGATATGAGGGCGTATGTACGCAGGCAAGATGGCGGGGTCGATGCTCACTGGCCCAACGCAGAATCTGTGTCGATCAAAGCTGCGGGAATGAGGCGAACTTCTTACCGACAAAATACCCTGCGCGACATGTAGGGCAGAGATGCTGCAGGGTAGACAACTGGCTCGCTTCCACGACGCGCCGTATACACTCGCGGCAGAATATGTGACCTGACCACAAGATTTTAGTCCCGATTTTGAAGGCTTCATCGACGATATATTACCGCATGGCAAAGCAACCGGGGCCGTGAAACGCTCATAACAAATACTGCAGACCATACTCACCGGAGCGGTCACGGTTATATGGAGAGCATTGGGTGGGTATCCAAGACTTGGAAGGGAGCCTTAAGTATGACAATCAATTGTGCCTGGCGCGAGGTATGAGGGAAGTCCGAACCGGATAGGCGGTAAATATCCGAGTACGGGCCACCCGTACTCGGCGACTAAGCCGGGCTTAGTCGCTCGTGAGTGGTCAAGCCATAACCTGTGGCCGCATCCGGGGCCCACGGCCCCGAGCCCGACGCCAGCCATCGGCGAGTCAGCATGATGAGATAACGCAAGGAAGTATAGCCGAGGCGATTGCAAGGTAGAACCGAGACAAATAAACATGTCCGCAGGGTCGATTAAGACAGATGGCAAGAGAAATGAGACATCTTGGTGGCCCGTTTAAAAAGAAAAGGTCAAAATAAAAGGACGACGCGAGCAGGATTTGAACCTGCGCCCGGAAACCGGAACAGATTTCTAATCTGTCGCCTTAACCACTCGGCCATCGCGCCGTTTTTTGAGCGGCGAAATCGGCCGTCAGGTTGGGACGGTGGTTGCGATCGAAGGAAGTTTCCTATTCCGGATGGTAGCGGTTATTTGTTTGGACTTCACTGCCACCGGGAACTCGCTCCACCGTGTGCCACCATTCGAGGGAACATCGCAGATTCATGAAACGCTTGAACCTGATCATGGACGCGAATTGGGGGCGGATCTGCTGCAGTCTACGCAGATGCCGAGCTTCTCCGAGCTTCCGAGCACCGGTACCATGGAAGACATTCTAGCAGATTCTAGCGCAGATTGCGGGTGCGTTATTTTTTTTTTAGTGCTGTCCCGTTTGTAAATTATACATCGTGAGGGTTGGACCCAATATCGAAAGATCTCCAAAGGCTCCACCATTTTCGTCTTATGTCTAACGGGAATGCTCGCTTTCACAAGTGAATCTGGAAAGACATCGGAGTAAATGCCGCGATTTGAATCTTCGGTTTAGCAGGAAATCTAAGATCGCAAGTGGATGGGATCAATCATGATCCTCTGTGTCCCAAAACGGAACTTCTGTAGAAGTCTTCTTTAGAACCCCCGGCCTTATCACAACAACGGGCGAACTCCTCCCATATCGTCCGCAGCCGCCCGCCACCCGCCATCCGAGCCCGCTGCTTTCGCACTTTAGATCCGTAAAATATATAATCTAATTGTACACTTTCTCACTGCTCTTGGGCTGCTTGCGGTATAGAACAACAAATCAACCTGCTTGGGGATCGGAGTTAATCAAATCAGCACAGTTCGAGTCAGCGCTAGGATTGGGCCATCGACTTTATACACCATCGCCACAGTCTTTCATTTTATGGAAGCATCATCATCAACACACACGTGTATCAGGGAGTGGATCTCACCTTGCTTACAGAGTGCTAAACTGCTGGTTCGGAGTAATTCTTGGAATGTTCAATAGGCGACGATTGGGCCCATACTTGATACCATCAAATTATCTGGACGTATAGAGGCTCCCACACAGCTGTTTAAGTCAAATCCGGAAGTATCATCAACGGGGAGTGGATCTCACCTTGCTGACAGGGTGCCAAACTGCTGGTTCGGAGTAATTCTTGGAATGTTCAATAGGTGACGATTGGGCCCACTGGACGTATAGAGGCTCCCACACAGCTGTTTAAGGCGCCTAGCGAAAAAAGCTTTTAAACCCGCCTATGTTTCTTTGGTTCCATATTGTGTTCTTCAACTGCCGCTTCGAATGCCCAGCCTTCCTGACACCTCCCTCTCGATTCTCGCCGCAGATCTCCAAGTTAATTCGACACCATGGGCTGCTACCGGAGGTCTATTGTTGGTTGTCGCAACCGGAAGCATATACTACGCGTCCTCCCAGCGCCTCACACGTGTTCTTGTTGACGCCATGGCCGACGTTAAAAAAGCATACCTCGAGGCCATCGAGAATGGGGCCCTATGCACGACCGATGCTCACACCGCGGAGACATTCGCGAGGTATGCCTTCCATCCGCTTCTTTTTTACGGTCGCATGTTGAGTCTCCGTCCGACTGGGCAGCTTGCAGCTCGAGGTATCCACTATCCGCCAGGCGTCCCTGATCAGCTCCCTCTCACACTATGCAATGTTGTGTGATGTTCTCAAAGGCCGCACGTTCACTATTCTGCGCTGCCTCCGCGAAGTGCACGAGCTTGGAACACGTATTGAGGTATGTGGATTACCTTGCCAGTGACTCGCACCTTGCCCCCGAGTTGAACATGATCGCCGAACAGATCTTGAAAGGGTCGCGAGATCACCTCCCGCCGCTTTGCGACGCAGCCGGCTCCTTCCCCAACATCGGTCGTCGGGTTTTAACCCGTCGTAAATAATTGTTTTGATTACGCCATCTCGCTATCGTGCTGGTGTTTGTACTGCTTCTGTATTCCAATGAACAATCACTATATGGTTTGACTTGTTTTGTGTCATAAAAGTGGGAGTCAGAGTCGTCCTTTCCCAGTTCTGGAAGTGAGCGTGAAAAATACTATGTTGAAATTTTGGAAGTCATTGACAAGGATCGGACCGGGCCGAAGCGGTGGCAAGTTGAATCGGATCATTCCGTGTCTGTTCAAGCTTGTGTCCAACTTGTCAAAGTTGTCATGCCTTTCACACACTTTTCTTCTTCGCTCGATGGCAATGCAGTCCTCTCGATGCCGCACTCCTTCCAAGACTGAGTGACTGGTGGTGAGGCTCTGTTCCTTTGCGCCCGGATCGGACGTTCCTGCCAACCTCATCGAGGCGACAAATCGCTACCTCCACAAATCGGCAACGTTTCGACAACGGAAGTGTGTTCAGAAACATCCCAGTGCTTTGCCATTTCGTCAGTCGTAATCAACCCATGGATCATTGAATTAACCTAGCAGAAACTGGCATTCACGTCTACCTCGCGGCGATGATCCTTTTCTCAATCACACCACGGCATGACGATGCTTCGACTGTGACTTGGGACTGTGGCGCTCGGGTTTGAAGCGATCGTCCAAAATAAAAGCTGTCAACGTTATAACATAGTCCAGAATCACCCGTTTCCCCGCGGATAGCAACGAGCGTTGGGTTCCCGCGGTGCAAAAACCAAAATGTCCGGATTTGGAAGCAATGCTGTTTTCATCTGATCGTGCAGGTTAGCTCCAAACGCCACCGGTGATTATCTAGGGTTTGGTCTCCCCCGAATGCCCACGGTACCCCCCATCCTCATACGGACGTTGGCGCTTTAGTTCTGCTTTTAAACCTGCCATGTTTCTCCAATCCCGTATCCTAGCTTTCGTTCACCATTCCAATGCCCGCCCTTCTTGAAGTCTCCAAGCCTCTTTCGATCCTCGCCTCGGGTCTTTCACTCAGCTCGACACCCTGGGCCACCACCGTTGTCCTCTCAGTGGTCGTCGGCACGGCCGGAACTATTCACTACGCGTCCCCCCAGCGCCTCACCGGTGTTCTCGTCGTCGCCATGGCCGATGTCAAAAAAACATACCTCGAGGCCGTCGAGAATGGGGCCCTGTGCGCGTCCGATGTTTTACACAGCAGAGGTGTTCTCTAAGTGCGCCATTCCTCTGTGTTGTCCCCCTGGGTTGCAATATTAATTCCACACTGTGTAGCCTACAGCTCAAGGTATCCACCATCCGCCAGGCGTCCCTGCTCAGCTCCCTCTCGCACTATGCAATGTTGCGCGATTTTCTAAAAGGCCGCACGTTCACTATTCTGCGTTGCATTCACGAGGTGCACGAGCTCGGAACACACATCGAAGTATGTGAACTACCTTGCCACTCGCACCTTGCCCCCAGTTGAATATGATCACCAAACAGATATTGAAAGAATCTCAGCTCCGCGAGATCGCCTCCCGCCGCTTCGCGACGCAGACGGCTCCTTCTCCAACATCGGTCGTCGGGTTTAATTCGTCGGAAATAATTGTTTTGTTTACACTCTTCGCTTTCGTGCTGTTTTGTACTGCTTCTGTATTCTAATGAACAATCACCCTATGGTTTGACTTGCTTTGTGCCATGAAATTGGGAGTCGGATTCGTCTTTTCCCCACTGTCGACGGCTGAAAGTGAGCGTGAAAAATACTATGTTGGAATTTTGGAAGTAATTGAACAAAGATCGGACCGGGCCGGAGCGGTGGCAAGTTGAATCGGATCATTCCGTGTCGCTTGGAGCTTTCATCAGTCCTTGTGACTCCTTGATACGTCCTTAACACTGTGAACTGAAACTAAAACTTCAAGAGGCAGTCTCCTCATGTGCTTTCGGAACTGCTGGCAACATTGAGTTTTTGACAACTGGCGCCGCCAAAATGCCAGCTACTTGCTCTACTTACTGGTAAGTATTGCAAATTATCGCATTGAACGGCGCCTGGGTCACCTGTACCTTTTGGCGGGCGGTGCGAGAAAGCTCTTTATCTGTGGGCGCATCATGACTTCGTTCCACGATAACGATTCTTTTGTTCTTTTGTTAGCGCTTGTCGATGCGATAACATATTTATTCTGCTCTGATCGGCCGGCCATGGAATGCAACACACCCCTCACCTCTCTGGCTCCCACCAAAGGCGCCAGTGAAGCTTTAAAATCCCCCAACAGTCGACGCTCGGGTTGCCTCGGCCTTCACGATCGATCCCATTGCGTTCTTTGGCGAAGACGGGCAAGAAGTTCCCGAGACGGTTGAAGTGTGCAGTCAACTGATCAACAAACAGTATATGGGACTCGTTGAGAAGGTGTGTTCCTTTGCTGTCGACATGATACATCCTAACACATCTTTCCCCGTTCCATTCCATCGTGCCAGATGTCAATTAAGTAAGTGAAACTCACCTCAGGGACCACCAGAGTGACGTAAAGGTCCCTTAAGGTGGGTTCTTTTGTAGTACGCAAACCCACCTTAAGGGACCACATCCGCGCGGCGGACGCTAGTCAAAAATTAGTCAACCATGTGTCATGTTTCCATTTGGGAAACATGCGGCGCCGGGCGGGCCACCCACCCCGCCCTCAATTAGCGCTGTAGCCGCCGCCGTACTCCGCACCGCCGCTGCCCCTCCCGTATCAGCATTCCAGCTAATATATCCGGTCCTTGCAGGTTCAAATGCACTCGAAATTTGGTACGTGGAACACCGCCCGGACGTGTCTACCACCACCCAGACCACCCACAATTGGTCCCACCTACCGCATTCCTTCGTCGCCAGCGGCTTTCCCTCATGCCTCATTAGTCAACCTGATGTTTCCATACCTTTCAGGTTCAATTTGGCTTGTAATTTGGTGTATGGAACATCGCGCGGACGCATCTGCGCATCGATTGCTCACCAGGACATTGCCCAAATATTGATGTACGGCAACTGCATTTTGAGTGGTAAGCTTCCAATCAATATGCGTTCTCCTTTCGCTCTGTCCTACCCGATCCCGACTTGCGGAGCCTAGCGTGGACGTGTGCACCAATTGGTTGTGATCCTCTCCACTGCTTCAGTTGAATCAGTTCTATTGTTATGATACTGCACTTTGAGCAGCTGTTTGTC